TAATGGTCAAATGCTTGCCCTATGTAAAGTTTCCAGCATTTTGGCGCTTGTATTGCTTGTAAATTTGAGCGAACTAAAAAATTTTCGAAATTAAAGACTAATTACGGAAAAATTATTGGTGGGGCTAAAGCCCAGCGAGCCACCCTGCTCCGCGGTCCCTGTATTTGTTTGATAAGTACTATATACATCATTCGTGTTCGTGTTGTATCAGAGATAAAAACACTCGCCTTCGGCTCGGGTTTGTACATCTACTGATACAACACGGCCGTTCATGTTATATATATGGTACACTTATTAAGCAGTTATTTAGGAGGGCATTTATGGCATTATGAAATTCGGGGATCAAAATAAAAATGCGATGCATGGGATAAGCAGGTCTTCACTAACGTTCAATTTATTAACTGATATACAAGTTCGCGTCAGGATTCAAGATCAAAGTTGTAAATATTTATATAAACCAATTTCAAAAGTTCATGGAAACTGTCAAAAAAAATCGGAATCAGTCGCAAATGTTCAAAAGCGATTTACTGCGGTGACTGCATTGTCCTACCTTGCATGTACATATGAACCCTTGAAGTACTATTGTATTAATACTGGATAATTATTGAAGAATACTTCTAACCAGACCAATGCAAATAAAGTTCATACAGACAATGAATGACATGCATAAGTGATAATTATCCTGCCATGACGGATATCAGTCACGCATGTCGCCATTGAATTTTCTATTATCTTAGCAGCTTAGCACTAACGACGAGGCGGGGAACGCCAAAACCGCGCCTTAACAAAGAAAACACGCCCCTTTGCGCCTCGCATGTCCCAGTGACATCTCTCCTTTTTGGAGACGATCTACAGGGCCAACTAAGTTAGCAACCTCAGAATATTGGGTCACCAATCTTCCCCCTATATAGCTAACTCTGTACTACAGGTCAGGCCTAGATGACTGTGCAGCAAATGTTATTGACACAACACAGCTGATAGACAATTTGGGGTTCATAGCTCACCCTGACAAATGTGTCTTCATCCCCACTCAAGAATTAGACTATCTTGGCTTCACACTAAATTCCAAAACTATGCTAGCAACAGTAACACCCTGGAAGAAGTCATAGCTGAAAGAAGCATTAAATCTAATATTTGTATTTTGTAAATATTCAATTTAAAATTAAATTTAATATTTGTAAATATTGATAAGTCTTATTGATAAGAATTATAATATAATTATTTTTTTAAATTTTTGTAAATAGCTTCTGAAAAGCCCAGGGGGGGAAAACTATTAAACGATGAAAACAAACTATCAAAAACTGGGAACCAATAGGAAAAGTACTTTTAAACGTGAATTGATCACGTCATTTAAAGCCACACTAGGCTGTATCTGCCAAAATATATCTCAGACATTCCGCAGACTTTCCCAATGAAATCGTTCATATTTACAATAGTCTTTCCATTGCTGGGTTTAAAACTAAATCAAACAACTATTTTAAAACAACTCACTGATTTAAATATAGCTAATAAGAGTGCATTGTCTTGAAACATGGGGTCTGTGAGAACAAAAATATCTTATTTCCATTTCTCCACTTTATTTATATTAACTCAATTGCGATATTGTTTTACTGAATAGTCTGTCTAAGTTTAACTCATTATTAACTAAAGCAACTGTGTTTTAATTAATTCCTAAAAGTTCTTTTTTGTTGTCTCTAGTATAGTACAAGGTTGACCACTTTGTGATGTCATAGCACATGTTTTCAGCCAACATGGCCGCTGGCGTAACGCACCTCCACGTGTAGCCATCCGTGTCCTTGCTGCGAATAAATCTTGCATAAGTAAACGCTTCGTGAACGTTATTTCCACACCATTCATCTCGCAGAATCTGTACTCGATATTCTGAAACAAGAAAACAAAACCTATTTATCTATTGGAATAAATTATGACAATTATGATATGTGATTAAATAAGTGTGCATGTTATTTTCATATTATAACTTTATATTTATATTGGACATTTACAGACATCACGGAAACGTGAGATGACTTTGAAGCAGGGCGTAACTAGAACGATGATTGATACATTCACTTCAACCCGACGGATTTCTATACAGGGTATCCCAAAAAAACGAAAACTATTGAAATCACACATAACAATGCAATTGTTAGAGTTTGAATGCCTAAGCACTCTGTTGGGACCCACAGGTGTATAAATGTACTCATTTTTATGTACTCAAATACTCATTTTTATGCATGCATATGATGCAGTAAAATTTGCTTGTTCGCAAAAATGATATTTATAAACAATATTTACAAATATGGATAACATTTAAATGGGCATCTCAAGGACCATGACCTTCCACATGTCCCCTTTCTCTATAGCAACACAAAGCATTTAGCATTTTAAAAGTTGCATTAAATCCCCACGGGCTGAAATTCGTGAACACGGCATTCAAATTTTAACAATGAGTGATTTCAATAGTTTTCGGGTTTTTTGAGACACCCAGTAGACACTTCCCGAATTTGCTTGAGTGCACACAAAACAATGAAATCTATCTAGTTTGTTGGATGGTTTTCATTCCCCGAAAACAAATTCGGAAAGTGTCTATTGTGAGGTATTGCACTTACAAAAGAAATCCGTCGGACAGAACTGGATATGGATATTTAATCCACCCTCCTCCTCGGTTATTGTTCAAGTAACGCCACTGCTTCGAGATGACTTTGAGGTATTGAAATTAGCATATAACAGGATCACGTGAGAGAATAATACGGAATTTAGAATAGTTACAACTTGAAAATTATGACCTCTGATTGGTCAAGCGATATCGCATATTACGCGATATACCCTTTTTAAACTGATAAAACTTTTTAGTTTCGAGGGTAAGTTATCATTACTTAGGCAAATATTATTTGTACATCATTACAGTATACCTGGAATCTCTGCTTCAGATCTATTCCGCACGTTCACGTGACCGAACACATGATTTCTGAAATTTCTCCATTGAAAGAGATCACCATTAACATTAATCACCCCAGATGCCATTCCTTGTATAACATTTACTGTCAAAAATTTCCTCCAGAGATTCAAACCTGCGAGGCTTCCTTGGAACGCCTCATTGCCCACAAAACTTCCTCCATGGGAATTCGAATTCTGACCAAGAACCACTGTGCCGTTGGAGGGTATAGTGTAACCAACCGCTTTGATTGTATTTTCAACTTTTATCCCATCTTGGTAAACCTCGATTAAGCCATCATTGTTTCTCCACTGTAGGCAATAGAAATGCCAGGAATCGTAGGCAGAGATCTTAGATCTAAAGAGTTAAAATCAAAGCACACAGAGGTTACTATTCTTACTCCCATAGAAATATTGTCAAACATTTCAGGCAAACTAACTCAGTGGTAAGCTACTCTAAGAGGCATTATATTGAAGAATAGTGGAACAATGCTGTAAAATGTTATTTCGGATTGACATGGGCGGCACACTTGTTGATGATCTACTTCTTTGAATCGATTAGATTTAGTTCTCACTAACCCACTGGCTTTCCATATGTTCTTGATCGCAAGGTCTAAATACAAGTTGTGATACAAAAAAACTGCAATTTCCCTGGCACGAACATGACTTGAGTACAAAAATATGGAACACTGCCTTCTTAAAAATTTCGCCCAAAAACACAGAGAAAAGACGGTGATTTTCTGGCGAATGGCATTTTCTATTTTGACGTAGCTTCCCACCGAAGCTTGAGGGAAATCCATCTGATACACAGATTCTGCTCCTGGAAAAAAAGAGGATAAAAAACATTGTCTAACAAGAGACGTCTACAGCATGGACGGAAAAATCTAAGGATCTTAAAATTAAGATGACAGGGCAGAAAAAGGATTCCTAAAGATGAACACAATAAATGTCAAAATAATGATATGACCAATACTGCATTTGCATGTAGTTAAAAATCAATACATGGATGCAAACATCCACGTTTGAAACAAATATAAAAAGTTATCTCAATGAATACAACTTTTATTTCATCTGTACTTTGTTGAATGACAAGTTAGGTCATAACGAAAAGAAATACTAAATCGATCGCGCCTGGGAGGACGCTGAATTCTGTTTTTTATTTATAGTCGTTCTTTACTTACGAAAATTGTGTAGATCACTCGGTGTTTCTTTGAACTTAACGTCTTCGGTAACCTTTGACTTTATTCCAAACCACGCGAAGACGTTTCCGTTTTCAAACAATGGTCCTTTGTTTGCCATTAACGATAAAACATGTCCATCAATTTCATAGTTCCATATATTGAGTCTACTTCGAGAGCTGTTGTGCTTGTATCCATCTGAAATTCAACAATAATTCATGATTTAATTGTATATTCACTCTGAACTACTTTAATGATATGATTGCACTGAATTATTGGCCGATGAATGATTAACATGCAGGCCAGGCTGTGATTTCTACATCTGTTTAGCAAGAAAGAGAAATTACTATAACTTATCATGCATTTTGCTAGATAACGTGTGCCGAAAATCGTGAAAAAATGCTACTTACTTAATTGCAAGAAAATTTTTTCTCCTGCAGGAATGGTCATATTTGAAGCTACACCATGCATGATGGAGACCAACGAACCATCCAGATATATCTTCCAGTGGCCGGAATCACTCGACCACGTGGTACCAATATGATGCCAATATGCTGGAAATTCGTTCCAAAACCTTGGAATCCTTGCTTCCCTAAAACGTTTAAAAGATTAGTCAGTGTCACCTAAAGTGCTGGCTTCGACTCAGTGGTAAGTACTTAGTAGTGTTGTGAATTGCTAAAAATAATACGAGTTATACAAGATTAACCGGCAACTTTTTGTCATTAATTATTGGTATACTATGTACTGTACGTTTTTTCGGAAAATTTTGTTTGGTAAATACTTGAAAAATCTTTATTGAAAATCAAAATATCATCCGGCAAATATTTCCTGACAGACTTATTGCATTCCGCTTTCCTTCTGAAAGCGGAGCTTTAAATAAAACCTTGCCTTTTTTTATGACCATCTCCATGTATCTCCAAGTTGAAATTTTCTGCGGTGAGATAAATTGAGAGCAAGCGGGTTCCTGAAGCATTGGTGTAATCAACAAATTTCAGAGGTTCTGTGTCCAGTTCCATTGACGTGTTCTCGCATTTGATCCATGTTGTTATTGTGAAAGCCTCGATTATTTTTCTTGATAGTACGGCATGGATATATTGATTGTTTTGTGATGATGTCGTAACAATGTCATACTTCGGATCTAATTAAAAAAGGCCACATCCATAATTTGGTCTCATACAATTTTTCTACAGGGTGTCTCAAAAAAAACGCAATCACTTAAATATGCAAGAATATCAATATTGTTTGTGTTTGCACCACAGTTCAGCTAAAATGACTTTTAGCATTTTGAATGAAGGATTAAGAGCCATTTTCAATTCCAAGAGGTGCTTATCTATTGTGCTTTAGAGCTGTATTGATGTTTTGCATATTTAAGTGGTTGTTTTTTTTTTAGACACCCTGTATTATAAATTGAATCCTAGTCATTTCTCAGGAAAATGTTCACGCTTAAACACTTTCACGTGCTTGTTGATTATTTAATTTGAAAGGATGAATAATTTCAATTATTATACATTATAGTAGTAAAAGCAATTTGATTGGCTAATAGTTGACAGATAAATCGCGCAATCACGCAAAATTCAGTTATCTGCTAGCAGATAACTGAGTTATTTGCAAGTGAGCCTAGCAGATAACTGAGTTATTTGAAAGTGAGCCTGCGGTGGTTAACAAGCGGTATTCATTTGAATGTATTGATGTATTAATAATTGATGTATTTTTGGATGTTGCTATTAAATAAGGTTTTTCATTCGTTAATACTATGTTTACTATTCTTCAAATGTATTATAATACAATTATTGAATTCGGTTTCTGTGATATGCAGAGTTATCAAGGTCTCGGTATAAGACCTTGACCTTGATAACTCTGCATGTCACAAAAACCTCATCCAATAATTGTTTATTATATTTTCAGAACAAGAAATCCGAACTTACTTTTTTGGAGTGGTTTACACGAACTTGGCTGTTCCTTGACCACTTTGTCACTCTTAGTATCCTTAAAAGAATTCCAAATGAAAATATTTCCCACTTGATTACTAGAGCATCTTCGGTTTGTGGAATTAATTTCGACATCATCAGGAGAAACAGTTAGAAATTCACTCCAGACATTTAATTGACTCAGTTTGCCAGAAAATGAACCATTGGGAGTCTCGCCGGCGCTTTCCAGTTTCTGACCTATGACGAAGACACCTCCAGCTTTCAATGGTACCCCCAAACCAAGACCATCTCCAGTGTAGACCAATGTACCGTCAAGAAAAATGGCGTATTTTCCAAGAGACCACGATGCTCCCACATGATGCCAATGACCGTCATTGATTGGCGGAAGATGAAAATGCCTGAAATAATATGTATCAGATACACGATATTTCTCCGAGATTTTCTTCCACAGGAATTATATTAAGGCTTGTTTGTGTTTAACAGAGGATCGGAAGATATTCTCGAAGACTTAAATATGCTCAAAATAGTTTTGTCCAAAAATCTAGCTGCCACGAACTACATAATCTACGTAAGGATTGTAACGTACGTTATATTGTAACGTGGACGTACGTTGTAATCGAGTGAATTTCTACTGATTTGATTCATTCAACGAGTGAAGATATGAACTTAATCGGCCGGCATGGAGCAAAGTAGTTATCAGCTGGTATAAAAAACGGTTACTCTAGATCCGTTTTATGCTAAAATTTTCCCATCTACATGCATGCAATAGATTAAAGTGTACTTCATACATTTGCAATGATTGAACGTGAAGGATTATCAATTCCCGTTCAAGTATGAGTCGAAATTCGTCGACGCTTTTATTCACTCGGTAGAATAAAAGAACCATTTTATCTGCTTTCAATGTTTTGATCCAGAACTTAACTGTCAAATTAGGCATCTTTGGAACATCGTTGTGAAGTAAGATAAACTCCTGAACGCTTCGAAAATCCACATCAAAATCTCCTACAAGAAGATAAAGAGACGATATAGACTATACTTCGAGCAGGTATCATCAAAGAGAAATTACAATATATAATAGCAAAATTTATATGCATGTTCATGCAGGTTCCATGCCATCACCGTACAAAATATCCTGACAAATTTGCATGAGCAATTACGTAAATGCCGTTTGTGTTGTAATTCCCGTAGGAACGAGACGTTATAGCTAGAAAACACAATTACCAGCTCCTCCGTATCTATTGTTAGTGAAAATAACGAAACAAGATTTTTGTTTTAACATTGAAATGCTGCATGACAATGAATTTGAAAATGAATTAGCGTCAACAAAACACAATTAATATTTGTCCTTAACACGTCCAGTTCCTCCGTTTCTGTTGTTAGCGAAAATGACGAAACAAGAACTTTGTTTAACATTGAAAAACTGACGATGAATTTGTTGTCTAGTGAACTAGCTAACATCTAGCTACAATTCTCGTTCTTTTTGGGAATTGCAAATTAGTCACAACTTGGATTAATAGGCTTTAAATCGCTATGTGAAATGTTTGAATGTGAAAACGCCAAAAACTCAAAAATATGTAATCTCTCAACTTTCAACTAACTCGATTTAAAAAAAGACACGTTTTCCATAACTCCGTTTAAACTCACTAAAAACGTTTTTTGGAATATATATCTGAGAGGCTAAAACTACTTACACCCATCTAAAAGACTTTTACAAAGTGCTCAGCAAAGAGATAAACACTGAATTTCGGAATTTTCCCGCTAATTTTGCTGCGATAAGAACAGAACGTACTATTGTCACTTCCGTGCCTTGAGAAGCTAAGTGAGCACTAAGAGTTCGTGTTCCTGAGACACGTCAATGAATACAATATGTATGGAAAATTTCACGGCTGATATTTTCAATAGAATTGTATTTTTGTTATGTTTTTGTGATAATTAAAAAACAAATCCTCTTCCAGAGGCATGTGCCGTTAGGTATAAAAATACTCCAGGATATACTCCAGAGGGTTGTAAAACATTCGGGTACATTTCCTCCTCATACTCCCCCATCGTGTATTTTTACACAGAACCGCCGGCGACTCGTTTTCAGTTTACCTCTGTCATCGACACAGCTTCCATTATATTCCTGAGAAAACAATACCCGTGTTAATTAAAAAAGAACATTATTGGTCTAATACAGCCCTACTTTTAGTATGGTTCTTCATCGTGAAATATATGCACTAGAAATTAAGAGTTCCCTCGAGTTAAACCATTTTTGCAGCTGACTAGGCTAGCCCGTGTTTAAAAAGAATAAAATGCATGTGACATACTTATGGAACTCAACAGTGTAACGTCATCTAGCTGTCCTGTAGGAATGAGGCTTGTTTTACCTTTTGAGGCGTAAGCAGGTAGACGTGATCATAAGAACAATTCTTTTGCAACTCTGCAGAAGTGTTATAGATCACATCGTGTAACATCTCGCAAAGACCTGTCTCATCTTGTTCCAATATTTCCCTGTAGTTCACAGATCTACAACATGGCTCTTGAACGCACGATAATACGCACTGAATTTGGCTTGAAACGTTTGTCTCCTTCAAAATTAAACTGTTCAGTCGGAAGCCTGTTAATTAAGAAATTAGTCGACAATGAATCAAGTAAGTCCATAGACCATATAACTGGGGAAGTATAATAACAGTCCTAGATGGTCTCATTCGTACTCTTAATTTCTTCATTTTGAAAAATTAGATGCTAATGGCTGATTCTTACGAACTATTTGAAAAAAATGCAAGCAAAATCTAACGGCTTTTATGAGTAGCACCTAATAGGGAGATAATTTTTTTGCTCTCTGGTTACAATATACGTAAAAAGTGTACTGTTCCTATGATAGTGGAAATACACGCACAGAAAGGACACGGAGTAATGAAGTCTATCATACTTAACAAGCAATGAGGGATTTAAACAGCATATATATCATTATTCAGTGACACAATGGAATACTAATTGCACCAACTATTTAAATTCTAACAATAAATGAATTCAAAAGCATACGCTATTTCTGGGGCTCGTACCCTGTAAAACAGTTGACGTTATATGTTATCATGCATTACCTTCAAGAGTAGCATTGAAGCAGAAATCCAAGCATTCGCTTCGACGCATCAATATGAACAGAAATATTACAGGAAATGGGTTTTGGAATCCGCATATCCTGCATCTAGGGATACAAGCCATCTCTTTATGTATAGTCAGTCTTGCAACGCTGAGAATCTCGGGGACGTATATAGAGCCGTTGCTTTAACTCTATCTACGGTTAAATGCATGTGGCATTGCGTGCGGTTAAATTATGCATGTGTATTTGCATATATTTGTTTATATTCATTTATTTCACAATATATTTCTAGCACGAACAAAATAAAAAATTTTGCAACAAATTAAAACACTTGCAAGCAGTTGTGTTTATTAAAGGATGCCCATTCTCTATAAGAAATCTGCAGGAAACTTTTATTGGTTCACAGCCATCAATGAATTCACGTAAAATTTATACGGTATTCATTGATTAACGCGGCTAAGGTCATAAAATGCAATTAAAATCTTTTTAAAAATGGTTGGTTGCAAATAGCTGTTTTAGAATAATTAACTTTCCCAAAAATGAAGAAATTATAGGCATACAAATTAAGACCATCTAGGACCCTCACTGTACCTTATCCAACTTTTTATATGCTTTTTGTCATGCCGCTTTTGACAACAATCGTCACCCGTGCACTTTGATCATGCTATGTTTTGTTGTCTGGAATTAAATTAAGAGCTCTACTTAATCATACTTAACTATATTGCAACATAATGTTCTTAATATCAGGCTGGCGTTATTAAATATGGAAATTTTCCGGAAAATCCACAGACCGAAATTTAAATATCTGGAATTTTTTTTTGAAGTATGGCGTAAATAGAATCGTTGAAAACTTGTTTTGCAGGTGACTACTCGAATTTAAATATTGGCATGCATGATATCGCCAAGAAAGCTGCTTTTAGCTGTCTTCAACAGATTGCATTATAATAATTCAACCATACTTATATTTCATCATTTCGTTTCAGCCCTCAATAGGATCTGACCGCAACGTTTCATTGGTAATGTCTTTCGAAATCATGCTGGTTAGTTTTAAAGCTTAGTTTTAAAGTATTCTTGAAGTAATCTTCTTCTTCTTCTTCTTCTTCTTCTTGTTAGGGGGCGACGCTCTTTAAAAACACCCTAAGGCTCTAGCATTACTTGTTTGATCGGAATGAAACTTGGCACAATTATTCTAAGCAATATTCCGCATCGATTGACGGAGTTTAAATTTTTACTTTTGACCTTTGAAGCAAGTTACAAGCAATTCTTGATATATTTGCAGCAAATAATATATACATATCATTAATATTCAGCCTATATATAAGTAAACGGAAACGATTAGAAATACATTGTCCTCTTTATTGTTATAAATACAATGCAGTTCAGAAATTAAACTCGGTTACGCAGTTCCTGGTCCCTATAGTACGATCGTACTTGTTACTTTAAAACTTTATGCATGCCCAACTTACTTAGTTTTAAAGTGCTCTTACTTTAAAACTCTATTCATGCATGCCCAACTTACAAGCTAAGATCAGCAAATAACTGAACAACAGCTGAACAACAAATGTAATTTACCAAGCAACAGTGGATCAGTGGCGTAGCCAGCCTGACAATTTAGTCATGCTATGCAAATTTTATGTTATTATCATTATTCATTTCTTTAGAAATTCATTGTTTTCACAGTCAATAAACACCAAAATATTAGCATAGCATGACTAAATTGTCGGGCTGGCTACGCCACTGCAGTGGATACGGACACAAGAAAAGAAACATACATTGGATTAACGCAGAACAAGTTTAAAACCAGATACGCCAACCCACTTAGCATGCATCGTTTAGGGACAAAAACAAAATGAATGCGACGCAACTGAGCAAACATTTTTGGGAACAAAAGGACAAAGGCGTCAGCTATAAGTTGTCATGGAAAATTATCGCCAGAGCACAACCGCATACAAATGTAAGCAAGCGATGTGATTTATGCATCACTGAGAAATTTTTTATCATTTGCAAACCCCATATGGGTACATTAAACAGTAGAAATGAACTTGCTAACAAATGCCGTCACGGAGGAAAGCTTTTATTAAAGAACGTGTAGCGAACGAGTATAAATAAGACCGAAGTTAGCTGGCACACTTTAGACCTGACGAGAGAGTACTCACTTTGGAGTGTTTTCGAAACAAATTTGTAGTTTTTATGTGTAAATAGCTTTCTTAAACGTTATACAGGGTGTATCAAAAAAAATGTCCCAAATGTAAAAATTCCGTTTTTCAGGATATTTTGCAGAATTTGGCAAATTTTTGTGTCCCTAGAGATAGTTAAGACTTATCTGGTACACCTAGGCTAAGTTTGGTTTTTCAGTAACAAAATTATGTTACCGGGGGGTGGTTCCTTTCCACTGATATTGAGAGGGCTTGCGCGCGAAAATGTGAAGCTGAAATTGAGATATTATTTAGCTGTCTAAAAGTGGGAAAGCTTTTTAATAAACTGTCAAAGTTTCAGGAAAAATAATGCATACTGGGAGCAACGCGCGACCCCTAAAGGTGACAAATATTTCATTGCGCGCAGTGGATTAAATGCATCGTTGATTTTAGCGTGACCGATCTCATACAAGGTGGGCAAATGAATAAATTAAAGCGAGAAACTGAACACAAAAACAAAGCGATTTATTCGTGATGTTAATCCTCAGCATGTCCACCATTTCATTCTAAGCAAACTGCGGCTTGTCTGAGCATACTAAACACTGAACAGCGAACCATCTGTCTGTCCATTCGCCTAGATCTGCCGGTGGTAGCGTAGGCGATTTGCAAGAAAGAATTTCAAAGGAAATGGATAATTTGAGGCAGGACAGACAAATGTGGTTCACCGTTCAGTGTTTACCATGCTCAGACAAGCCGCAGTTTGCTTAGAAAGAAATGGTAGAAATGTTGAGGATTAACATCAAGAATAAAAATCTTGTTATTAAATCGCTTTGTCTTCTTGTTCAGTTTCTCGCTTTAATTTATTCATTTGCACAGCCTTGCATGAGATCGGTCACGCTAAAATCAACGATGCATTTAATCCACTGCGCGCAATGAAATATTTGTCACTTTTAGGGGTCGCGCGTTGCTCCCAGTTTGCATTATTTTTCCTGAAACTTTGACAGTTTATTAAAATTAAAGCTTTCCTACTTTTAGACAGCTAAATAATATCTCAATTTCAGCTTCACATTTTCGCGCGCAAGCCCTCTCAATATCAGTGGAAAGGAACCACACCCCCGGTAACATAATTTTGTAAATGAAAAACCAAACTTGGCCTAGGTATTCCAGATAAGTCTTAACTATCTCTAGGAATACAAAAAATTGCCAAATTCTGCAAAATATCCTGAAAAACGGAAATTTTACATTTGGGACATTTTTTTTGATACACCCTGTATATATATATTTGCAAAAATATATTTTGATATATATATATATATATATATATATATATATATATATATATATATATATATATATATATTAATATATATTCTTAATTTCGTTCATGCGTTCATTAAAATAAATGCGCATTATCGATAGCGTTTATTTTCTGCATTTCAAGTTCAATGCAATACGCAGCAAGTGATACTTTATAATGTGCTCCATATATAGAAAGTATAAACCCAAGGTTTTTAGCGTCTTGTACATCATATGATTGATAAAAATATGCAACAACTAACACGTCTAAACCATTGAATGAGTTTTTACCCGCGTTGCTCTTTTACACTCTTAAGGTCTCTGACCCTATTAATCAAAGCGCTGGTTGGGAAGTCCCAAAAATAAAGACAACGTACGTTTGATTCCTGTCCAAGAACTGTTATATTTTCGTTTGGTCACATACATGCAGTAAAAAAAGGATAGATCGAACTAGCTGGAGTAATGTACCCACTTTTTAGTGCTAAGGCTAATATCTATTACTCACTCTGTGGCTTAGTCTAAGTCTAAATAGTCGCATGCATGTTGTCCCTGGTACTCTTAAAAGCTTGTGAGCATCTAATTTATAATTTATCTGGTGCATTTTGATATAAATTTTAAACAATCAGTATAATGAAGAGCCCAACTTGTTACAACACCCAAATAGTCTCAGCTATAGTCCATCTTTCTTACTGATTTCATTATTAACTTCAGGAAATATGTTTTAATTGATTCCTAAAAGTTCTTCTTTCTTGTTTCTAGTATAGTACAAGGTTGAATTCTTTGTGATGTCATAGCACATGTTTTCATCCAACATGGCCGCTGGCGTAACGCACCTCCACGTGTAGCCATCCATTTCCTTGCTGCGAATAAATCTTGCATAAGTAAACGCTTCGTGAACGTTATTTCCACACCATTCATTTCGCAGAATCTGCACTCGATATTCTGAAACAAGAAAAAGTAACCTATTTATGGAATAATGACAAATATGATATTTATTATATTAATTTTGAAATCAACGGTGTTTCTTGCAATCTGACTGGTTAAAAATGGTGTGAATTATTCCCAAATCGCACTATTTTTCAGCATTAATCACACCTCTGCTCTGCCTCTCACCTCTACATTGCTCTGCACCACAATAACCAAACAGATTTAGTATTTCACTTAACCTATCCAATCAAATTACAGGGGAAAATGGCACAAAATTTTATTATTTTGCATTTTTAAATGCCCCACAAAATTTCTTGACAAAAAGAGATGAAAATTACTCACATTTTACACGGTGTACGGTTCTTTTAGTTTTAGCCAATAAATCGTTTTCAATTTGTATAATTTTTATAATAATGATTTCAAAATGAATATAATAAAGTGGAAATTGCACTTCCTGTCCTGCAATTTTGGTGTGAAATCAAACTTGTGATTACAAATCGAACTCCTGCTTCGCCAGTGGCGTAGCCAGCAACGATAATTGGGGGGGCGCATATTCATATATTCATGTTAACAGACTGTAAAGACAATTGATTTGAAAAGAAATTAATCCTGCGTATCACGAATATATGAATATGTGCCCCCCCCCCTCCAATTATCGTGCTGGCTACGCCACTGCGCTTCGTGGTCGTGCGATTTTGTAATTCCTTGCCATTTACCACTCCACTTTTTTATTATTTATTATTTATTTCATAAAGCATGCATTCAGTTTGTAATGCCATCGTCATGCAACGAGTAAAGAAACAATGCATTATATTTCATTTGAAATGTATAACTTTATCCCTATAGTTCGATGAAAAGAATACTTTTAACAAAAATGACTTTCTATGAGTCTGTTTACCGGGATGATATATATATCATGATCCTGGCAATCGTGTAATCAACCTGACAATAGCATGTGCTTGTTTGGTGTCATAAAAACTTATTTCAATATTTCAAAGTCATCTCACGCATCGTTGAATCTCGGCTAACCGGGATCTGTAAACAGCCCCAAAGTTTTGCATCTATATAATTTATTGAGTTGGTATGCGAGAGAAGAGTAAGGGCCTGTTTATATGATCCCGCCTAGCTGGGACGGGATGTTTTCATCCCGCTTAGCCAGGAAACTCGCCTATGCGGGATGGCGTGTTTATATGCAGTTCATTTTATAGTGCAGGTTCCTTCGACGGCATGTTTTATTGTAGAAAACGACTAAGCAACAAGTGCCGGGATCTCGCCTAGGCGGGAAGGAAAAGTGGTCATATAAACACTAATTACAGTGTTTGTATTACAAGCGGGATCTCGGAAACTGTCCCGTCCCGGCTAGGCGGAATCATATAAACAGGCCCTAAAAGTAATTTAAGTAACTTGTTTATTATGGCCTCTGGTAATTTGAATATTATTGGTCAAGCGACCTCGGATATTACGCAATAACCTTATTAAACTGATAAAACTTTTTTGTTTCGCGGGTAACTTCGGCCAATATAATTTGTAGATTAATGCAAAATACCTGGAATCTCTGCTTCAGATCTTTCCCGTATGTTTACGTGACCGAACACATGATTTCTTAAATTTCTCCATTGAAAGAGATCTCCATTAACATTAATCACCCCAGATGCCATTCCTTGTATAACATTTACAGTCAAAAATTTTCTCCAGAGATTCAAACTTGCAAGGCTTCCTTGGAACGCCTCATTGCTGTCAAAACCTCCCCCATAGGAATCCAATTCCTGGCCAATAACTACTATACCGTTGGAGGGTATAGTGTAACCTACCGCTTTGTGTTTCGTTCCTAGCTTAATCCCATCTTGGTAAATCTCGATTAAACCATCATTGTTTCTCCACTGTAGGCAATAGAAATGCCACGAATCGTAGGCAGAGATCGTAGGTCTAAAGAGATAAAAATCAAGGCATGCCGGGGTTACTAGACTTAGTGTCATAGAACTGTTGCCAAACAGTGCAGGATGCTAAAGTAAAGCCTGGTTTCCATATGACGCCGACCTGTCGCCTACGCATTGTCTGTAAACATCCAAGGAGAAAATGGTTTCCGAAAGACAAAAGATTTCACTCATCAATAATTATCGACAATAGGGAGGAGACTTAGCATGAGGACGTGAACGTCAAAGAGGACGTAGAAATGGTGAAGAATGGCACATCTATATACCATTTTCTCATCCCGCTCTTCGACGTTCACGTCCTCATGCTAAATCTGCCTAATAATACTTTGCCGACGTCGGCGTCATATGGAAGTCAGGCTTAACTGAGTGGAAAGCTAGGAGAATTATATTATTAAAGAATAGTTCAACAATGCTGTAAAATAGTAGTTTCTTTGGAAGTGAATAACCAATATCGTTGTTATTAAGAAATTTTGAATTGGAAATTAGGCAGTGTAATCTATTCTGACTTACCCGCCTAAATCCGCTACCGCTAGCTGGCTTCCTAATTCAAATAGATCGATGCATGATAATTATTATGATAGGTAAAAGATTATTACGTTGTTGCAACCTCATCTAGTATTCGAATATACTCCATGGGAAGGAAACCTAGAGAAACCTATATCTGACATTGTAAACACTCGTTAGACGGCAATAGATGCTGCGTCATAAGACCAGATTTAGCGACCACTAACCCGTCCTGTGGCTGTGACCATATTTTTTTTATGGCAAGGTCTAACGCCAAGTTTTCATACAAAAAAACTGCAATTTCACTGTCATATTGCTGACTTGAATACGCAAATATGCTCGAGTAATTCCTTGAAATTTTCGCCCACAAACACAGAGAAAAGACGGTGATTTTGTCGCGAATGGCGTTTTCTATTTTGACGTAGTTTTCGACCGAAGCTTGAGGAAAATCCATCTGATACACAGATTCTGCTCCTGAAAGAAAAATATACGATCACAAGGCACACAGTGGCGTCGCTAGAGGCGTTAAGTGTGTGTGGGGGGGGAAGATATCCCAAGGGCGCGTAGGCATGCAGTAAATATGCCATCCCAGAAGTCCATTGAAGGTATTTTGTTTAAAGTTTTGAGACAATGGTCATCAAAAAATTTAAAAAACGGTAATGTTTGGGCTGATCATGTTATTATGGCAATTTTTATTCGCAGAAAGAGAAAACTATAAAGTTCATTAAGCAAGCCAAAATTCTATAAAAAATATGACCGGGACAAATGACTCTAGGCTCATTATAACTCTGTTTTGTCGAAGCGCCTATAATGACGTCCTGATCTCAGATTAGCCGGAAATGTCGCAATAATGATGACCAATGTAGTTCAAAAATCGGTACTTCCTTGCATCGCCATAATCCGCTTAATTTGGGTGTGTATATTCACATATTCATGTTCATCACAGGAACAATAGCGTGCAAAAGAAATTATATTAATATACACCCCTTCCATGCAAACTATACCACATTTGAAACCAAGACAACAGGTCATCTCAACTATATCTAAGAATACAACTTGTATTTAACATGTCCTCCATTGCATGAAAAGTCGGGTCATAACGGAAAAAGTACCAAACGCGCCAGGGACAGTTTTCGTTGTTTTTTTTCGGGCTCTGCTATACTTACGAGAGTTGTATAAGTCACTCGGTGTCTCTTTGAATTTAACATCTTCTGTAATTTTTGATTGTATTCGAAACCACGCAAAAACGTTGCCGTTTTCAAACAATGGCCCTTTGTTTGCCATTAGCGATAAAACATGTCCATCAATTTCATAGTCCCATATATTGAGTCTACTTCGAGAGCTGTTGTGCTTGTATCCATCTGAAATTCAATAACAATTCATGATTTATGATTTAATTCAATGCAGGCTGTGATTCCTGGAACCGATGTTTGTCAGCATCAAATGATTTCTACTTATGTCAAAAGCCGTCGGAAGTTGGAAACACCTGTTTGATTTGTAGCCTCTAAATATATATTTTTATTCGTTGTTAAAGTGCTTCCGACTTTACCTGAAATTAATGTGCAACAATTGATAAAAAAAGATGGCGGATGTATATTTTACCAGAATGCATTGCGGTCGGAAATCGTTTAAAAAAGCGAACTGACGTCTTTTAAAGGACAGGCATAAAACAGGAAGTTATTTTCTTCGCTGTGTTAAAATTTCACGTCATTAGGTGTTTTTCTTGCTATCTTTTTTCAGTCAATCATTCTTATGCCCGCAATGCATTCTGGTAAAATGAACATGCCGCCATCTTTGTCGTTACGGTCAATTGAAAATAGCCCTTTACGTCTCACCGCTTTAGTTGTTTAAAACATGTTTTAATATATAAATCTTATGTTTAAATGGGCCTGAACTGAAGTACTTCAATGTAAAGCTATAAACATGTCTTTCTGTCAACGTTATAAAGCAGCTCCCAGCACCTCGCAACGAGCTTTAATATCGCCAGGAAGATGTGAAATTACTGGTTTCAGTGCGTCTCAAAAATGGCGATCCTGTTGATAAAAGCTTAGAGACTGCAAATTATTTCTTTCTTTCGCGTCATCGACCTGGCTGGGTCGCGAATCGTAAACTGTCAATTTATGTGTGGTTTATTGAAAAACTCCCTTGCAGTTACAATAACTGAATTACTGAGCAATTATTACAATAAAAGTTAATAAGATCTTACTATTTACAAAATGTTACTATATTCTATTGGGAAATTTACATGATATGAATTACGAATTATGTAATTTAATTATTTAAAATATTATTAATCTAAATATGGAGCTGCTTTGTTTTGCCTGAGTTGACATAAGCTAAAGGCTCAAGGATGTCCCCACTTAATTTATATTTGTAATAGTTTTCTAAATGAATATTGGTTTTGAAAGCATCATTTTGTTACAAGAACACAATAAAACACTTTGAAAATCTTGTTCACAACAATTTAAACACTTTGCTCCATTTTCAATTACTGTAATATTAGTATAACAATACAAACTTGTCACCATAAATATCATTTCATGAAATACCGGCTGTAGCTATAATATAAATAAACAATTAGTCTAATCTTGCTATTCCTTTTGACACTTTCCATAATTCGCATTGTAACCATAATTCTTGTTATTTTTGTTGGTTGAGCCGATGTATTATCGCAGTAGGTACAAAATGCGATTCAGATTTTTAATTTATTATTAGATAGGTCAGTTACTATAGCATGATTTCCGATAATGGTTCCCTCATTACCCCGTATATGTATAAATATGTTCGCTGATATAACATTGATCTTTCATAAATTGATTTCTCATAATATTTGCATACCCGAAAAAGCTTTTCTCGTACTTTTATACGTCTACATTGAACGATATGCACATATTTTGTGTATGCATTGAGCTTATTATACAAAATATTTGTGTTCACTTTGTGGGACAAAAATTCACTCCTATGATCCGCAATATTTGAATCACTGTTAAATACATACAGGTTAAATAAGTGTTAATCAGTGAGCTCCACATATATCTGGAGTAAGAATTTAAGACTTCCGTGAGGCCAAAAAGTGAAGCCAAAGATGGCGGATATTGAGGCGCTATAGTACGTCAGTTTCAGTCCTCCTATGTGCGCGGTCAACTAAATTCGTATTTTTTAACTTTATTTTTTTCCTATTTTTGAGTAAAAAATGAGGGAATTTCAATAAAAGTTATAATACTAATGCTTTGTATTGAGATACTTTTATATTTCAATTAAATTAAGCGATATCTTACAAGGAAAGCTAAGGAGTGGCGGATTGTTGATGTTTTCGGCTTTTCGCAAATCACAACATTTTCCTATAGAATATACTTCCCAAAAAACATAAATAAAACTTTTCTCAGTTTAATTAATCCATATAAGGCTTTCATTCATGTAAAAAATTAATAGGAAAGAAAATTATGCTGAAAAACGTACGAGTTTGAAATAATACTAATAATTGATTGTGAAATTTAGAAACAAGACTCATGATGCACGTATAAAAGAAACCTTTAAAAGAGCCCTATGCTAGGGAAGCTGGCTAAAAAACAAAGGACAACTAGTGTTAAAGCGTTTCGAAACCTAAAACGAAACAAGAAACTCAAAACATAAGGTGGAAATATATGAAAATAACTCAAAATTGAACAAATCTGAAATGCGTAGTTGAATTTACGGCGAAAAATGCATATTTACTCACACGTACAGTCGGAAAATGCGTCACCCACATCGAGTAGATGCCAGAGAAACAGATTCTTAGTAAAATGAATCAATTTTTTCCATTCGTGTGTTCTCAAAATCATAAAAAAACACGAAAATCTGAGGGTTCCGGGAACCGTCAATCCCGGTCAAAAACAATGAGAAATATTTGGCCGCGCGAGTTAGGAGACTGAAACTGAATTTCCGCCATCATTTTCCGCCATCTTTGGCTTCACTTTTTGCACCTAAAGTTCTTACTCCAGATATATGTGGAGCTCACTGGTGTTAATACGGCACAGTGGTATGATGTGTTTAATGAAAAGGAAAACTTAAACCTATTTTATACCTTGGGCATTGAGGAAAGCCCGTGTCCACCGCTGGGAATTGACATTTTTATTGGCGCGTACATGAAGCTCATAATTTCATTTCCGATTCGATTTTTTTGAAACTCGCTGTAAAGGTTAATAAACTTGAAAACGAAGAATTCAAGAAAAGTTCGTGTGTACTATATCCAACATTGCCTAAAATATATACTAAACCAAAAATACTACTTACTTAATTGCAAGGAAATATTTTCTCCTACAGGAATAGTCATATTTAAAGCTACACCATGAATGATGGAGACCAACGAACCATCCAGATATATCTTCCAGTGGCCTGATTCACTCGACCACGTGGTACCAATATGATGCCAATATGCTGGAAATTCATTCCAAAACCTTGGAATCCTTAATTGCTTCTCTAAAACGTTTAAAAGATTAGTCAGTTTTACCGTAACCCTCTTACAGGATTTTGATTCAGTGCCGAAACGCTAAAATCATACGATCCAAAACAGCTTAACAGCTTATTTATTATTAACAAGTCGCACATTTATTTTGGAAAAGCTGTAGTGAATACTTGAAAAAGCTTCATTGAAAATAAAACTCTTATCCAGAGATTATCTCATCACAGATTTGCTGTATATCAATATATGACCTATTTTCTGAAAGCAGAGCTAGTTTTAAGTAAAACCCTGCCTTTTTTTATGATCTCCATGTATCTCCAAGGTGAGATTTTCCGCGGTGAGATTACATGAGAGCAAGCGGGTTCCTGAAGCATTAGTGTAATCAACAAATGTCAGGGGTTTTGTGCCCAGTTCCACCGGAGTATTCTCAAATTTGATCCATGATGTTAAAGTGAAAGCCTCGAATTCTTTTCGTGGTGGTACGGTATGGACGTATTGATTGGTTTGTGAAGATGTCGTGACAATGTCATACTTCAGGTCTAATTAAAAAAGGCCACATCCATGATTTGGTTTCATATTTACTTCTCTATAATAAATTGATTTCGAATCTTTTCTCAAGAAAATTTTAGTGTTTAACCACCTTCAGTGCGTGTTGGTTATCTAATTTAAAAGGGTGAAAAAATGTCAATCGTAATTATTTAATTACGTCTGTAAGAACAAGAAATCAAACTGACTTACTTTTTCGGAGTGGTTTACACGAGCTTGGCTGTTCCTTGACCACTGTGTGACTGCGAGTGTTCTTAAGAGAACTCCAGCTGAAAACATTTCCTGATGCACTACCAGAGCATCTTCTGTTTGTGGAATTAATTTCGACATCATCAGGAGAAACAGTTAAAAATTCACTCCAGACATTCAATTGACTCAGTTTGCCCGAAAACGAACCCACGGAAGTCTCGTCTGCGCTTTCTAGTTTCTGACCTATGACGAAGACACCTCCAGCTTTCAATGGTACCCC